AGAAGGATGCGGGGATGATGTCACCCCGCGCTCGCGCCTCACTTCCCCTCCCGCTCCGCGCGGCCTTCTGGGAGTTGTAGTCGGGCGGAGGGATCCGGCTCGCGCAGAGCCGCGTCGCTCACAGTGCGCGAACTACAAGGCTGGCGGCGAGGAGTTCCGCCTCTTTGACAGGCTCCCAGACGCCCCCGCGCCTTGCGCCCCTACCGCCGGGTCCGCAGCTCGGCCCGGCCCCCAGGATGAGCCAGGCGGCCGCCGGGGCTCTGGCCCGCTAGGAAAGGCCCGGTGACCTTGGCCCGGCTCCGGGTTCGAATCCGCCTCCTCCGCTAGCTGGCTCTGTGACCTTGGGCCTGGCCCCTCGCCCGAGTCCAGGTGACTCCGTGGGACGAGGATGACCCGCCTCGTACGCTGGGCGGGTTCCAGAGGGCTCTGGGCCCGGCCGCCGCCTGGTCGGGGTCCGCCCTGGGCGATGGGGCGGCTGCAGGCCGGCACACCTGGCCTGTAGCTTGGAACGCCTGCCCTAGAGGCGCCCTTCCAAAGGACGCTCTCTCCCTGCGGCCCCCTGCAGCCGTCGCCTGGGCTCCTGGTGCCTTGCGACCCTGCAAGGTCCCGGGGCCGTCCAGCCATTTCTCACAACCTCTCATTCACCCACCGCGAACCCCGTCAGACCCTCCCAGGCCTTCCAGCGGGGCTGCTGCGCCCGGACCTTCCTCCTTGCTGGGCGCTTTGCCCATCATCAGCAAGCCCCAGGTACAGTTCTGCCCTTAGATCTGGACCACAGGGGTGCCTTGCCTGGGCCCTGCGCTCCAGAGGGCCTCATCCATCACATACATTGAGGCATAAAAGATGTGTTTTCCCGTCTTTGGTATCATGACTGACTACCGGGCAGAGATGCAGAGGAGCTCGGCACTAGGATGTATGGTATGAGCGCCTCTATTTGCACTCTTTCCTGGGCCCCACAACCGTTAGCTCTGGGTCGGCCAGGTCTCACTGCCTCACCGTCACTCTTGCCCCCCGCTGCAGCCGCCGCCTTCTCATCCTCTGACCCGTTCTTCATGCCGCAAACGGATGAGCGAATATGATCAGATCAACCCTCTACTTAAAGGCTTTCAGACTCCACATTGTGTGGGCGGAATAAAGACCCGTCACCCCTCCTGGAGGACTTTGAATGACCCTGCTGCTGAAGGTGGAGTTTGAGAGGGTGGGTGGGGATGCCTGTCCTGGCACCCCCCCTGGGTGGGCAGTGTTTTGGGCTGCCTCCCTCCCCACACAGGCTGAGTCAGACACTCCCTGCTCCCGCAGCCCCTGTGCTTTCTCTTGTCAGAGCACACTGTGCTGGACTGGGATTCTTGGTATTCACCAGTATTCCCAGAAACATGAAGTCAGGGGATAAAACATGGGAGTGTCTACCTCCTGCACCTCTGAACCCCAGCTCCTGCCAGGCAAGGGCTGGGCGCATACCAGTATTTGCTGGATGGATGAATGACGTAATAACGACCACTTGTCAACCAATTATGCACCAGCCCTCTGCCTGCTGCTAAATCATCTCATTTAATCCACACAGCCATTCTCAAGATAGGCACCAACAGCCAACAGGTGAGAAACTGTAAGTTTGTACTTGGTGAGGGCTTTGCCCAGACTCACCCAGATAGTCAGAGGCAGAGCCCAGATTTCAACTCAGGTGTGGCTGCAGTGAGACTTTCGGGTTCCAGCAGAGCACATCGTGAATCGATCGGGAGTTCCTCAGGTGGCTGGAGACAGGGGAACCCTCTCTGAGGAGGTGAGCCAGCGCCAGTCACTGTCAGAGCAAAAAACTTTCAGAAATTCAAGACCCTGGAGCAGGGGAAAGCTCAGCAAATCCCAGGAACCAACAGCAGCCGTCACGACTGGAGCGAATGGAAGTGGCAGAAGCCATATCCTCCATGTATGTTGGGTTCTATTCTAAATCAGCTGGGAGCCCTGGAGGGTTTTGAGTAGGGACTTTCATGGCAGGTTGTACATTTTTGAGAAAACCCTGGCTGTTATGTTGAGAGTGGATATCAGGGGAGCAAGATTAGAAGCTGGGACACTTATGACAGCCTCACAGGGTGTGGAGAGGGTGCTCCTAGCAGACAGAAGTTAGGAAGAAAAGGCATAAAGCAGTGGTTCCCAACCTTTGCTTTTCATCATCTCCTAAGGAAAAATTAATAAGAAATTAAGGAGAGAATACTAAGGAGTAAGATTTTGTCTGGCAGGGTTGAACTTTGGAGGGCCACAAACCATTGCAATATCTACAGGTCTGTTTCTCCCCTTAAGAGTCAATTTTCACCCCTTTGAGGAATGTGTCAGTCAGTGTTCTCCAGAGAAACAGCTCCAATGGGAGATACCTATCTATCTATAGATTTAGATAGATAGATAGATAGATAAATATATATACCTATTTATTTGAAGGACCTGGCTCACACAGTGACGGAAGCTGACACGTCCCAAGACCTGCAGTCAGCAAGCTGGAAACCTCAGAGAGCCCGTGGTGTAGTCAAGTCTGCGGGCCTGAGACCCAGGAGGGCTGATGGTGGTATTCTAGGCCAAAGTCAGCAGGCTTGAGAACCAAGAAGGTAGGAAAAAAATAACTGATTCAGCTTGGAGGCACTCAGGCAGCAGGAGTTGCCTTTTTGTTCTATTCAGGCCTTCAACTGCTTGGATAGGGAGGGCAGCCTGCTTCACTCAGTCCACCAATTCCAGGGCTAATCCCACCTGGAAACACCCTCAGCAGACACATCCAGAGTCATGTTTGACCGAATGTCTGGCCGCCCTATGGCCCAGCCAAGCTGACCTAAAATAACCGTCGCAAGGGAGATGCAGGACTTAGGGCCAGAAAGGTCTTTGTATCCTCGTAACAGTGACGGCAGCTCAGTCTGGCGGGAGCACAGCCGTCATAGGAAGGGGAGGAGTCAGGCATGGAGATGCCACTCCAAGCACCTCGTGGTCCTGGAAGGCTCTCAGAACCACTTTCAGGGAAGGGTGGCATATGCTGGGTGTTTCTGTAAAAGTGAAGTTTTATCACTTTCATGTGCAGTAAATATTAATCAGATATGAATATGTACTGGTAACAAGGCAATTGTATAAGAAAAATCAGGGAAGTTCATGATCTCACAATTCATAACCAGTGAGCATTACATAATAATGAACCTAGATAGCCTTTTCTAATTTCTGACTTTGTTAAGTCTGCAGAAATGACAGTTGGACACCCCTTCTCAAGCCATTTCCATGCCCCAAGCAGCCCCAAGCAAAACTCCAGCAGCAGGCTTCCCCAACCCACCCCACCCCAGCAGAGCACAGAGAATTCTCTGCAGAAACTACAATGTGAGAATGGATATGGCCATATTCATGTTTGGGGATCCCAAAGAGTCAGGCAGCTGTTCATGCACACCCAAAATTGAAGCCCTCAGGTCAGAAGCTCTGCTCTGTGGAGCTTCTGATCAGCCTCTAAGCACGTCACTTGTAGACATGAAGGAAAAGTCAAGGATCACCAGTCATTTAAGAAATGGCTCAAGTGCAGATATAAAAACGTGTGTGTGAAGGGGAGCAGGCAAAGAAGCTGTTAATGGAAGGAATCAAAACATTTCTCAAAAACTGCTAATAGCCTCAGGGACGTTTAAGAAAGGAGTCTTGAAATTAAAAATACACCCAAATTGTAAAAAAAATTCAATAGAAGGGTTGCAAGATAAAGTTAAGGAAATTATTCAGTAAGTAGAACAAAAAGACACAGAAAATCAGAGAGAAATGAGACTTAAAATCTCAATCCATGAGGTCCAACTACTTTCCAATACGAACTCTACGGGAAAAAATGGAGGGAAGTAGCTTTTGAAAGAAATACAATTTATCAGAAGTAAGGACTTGAATGTCCAGATTGAAAGAGTCCACCAACGATGGTGACTGACTGGAGGGAACCAGAGGTAAACAGCCTAAAACATTCAGAGAGAAAAAAGGAAATCACATCTGAAAAAAAAAAAAAAAGGCAGGAACACGAATCTCACTGAGCAATAATGCTCATGACATTCAGTGCCAAGTAGTGGAGGAGCCCTTTACAATTCTGAAAGAAAATCACATACAAGGTAGAATTGTATAGTCAGCCAAACTGTCGATCATGTATGGAGACAAAAAAAACCAATTTTGGACATTCAAATTATCTTTTTCAGGTAAACAGACTAACATAGTAACAAAAAACCCCTAAAATACCAGTAGATGTATTTCTCACAAAGGCTGTTAAGTATCTCCCCTCCATCTTATAACTGAGATGAGGACTCACCAGGGTCATGAACTCCGGTGCTCAGTGCGAAGCCCTTAATGGTGTCCTAAGGGTTGGGAGTGAACCGGCAGTGGACAGAACCCGACCCACCTGCAACGCAGCCTTCACGTAGCTCAGACCAGATTAAGGTGAGGAGCACCGGCTCCACTTGCAGGGTAGAGGAAGACATCGTCTGTAGCCTCTGCAATCTTTTATACACAAGTCAGCTTTCAGTTAAAATTTTGTAGGCAGGTCAAGACACAGGGCCATTTTACAGAAAATAAAAAAGCAGAAGGCTACAAAAGCCCATAGGTGAGTCACATATTGGAGTTAGTAGACAAAGATATATTGTAACAATAGTTAATATGTTTAAGAAAAGAGGAAAAGATGTAAAATACAGATGAAAGAATGGAGAATTTCACCCAAGAATTGAAATCTATAAGAAGATTAACTAGAACTGAAAAATAAAGTAACTAAAATTAAGACTTCAATAAATTAATAGGTGAGACATAGTACATGAAAGGATTAATAATTAGAAGAAAATTCAATATAAAACAACTAGCACAGAGAGAAAAAAAACTGATAAAACAGCGAAGAGGACAGAAAACAGATGACACAGCTTAAAGTTTAACATGCACGTAACTGGTGTCCCAAAGGCAAGGAGAGAGAAGGCCCCTGGAGCAGATTCTCCAGAACTGATATTTACCCACAGTTCCAGGTCTCTCTGTGAAACTGCAAACAGACCACACCGAAGGGTAAGCACGTCACTGCCCTGCTGCTGAAAACACAAAGACAAAAAGTCAAAGAAGATATTCCTGTCTCCAGAGGTACGTGACAGCTGACTGCAACAGCAGTGAAGCTAGGGAGCGATCGAATGACAGAGTAATTGAGGAAAAAACTGCCAACTTCTAATTTTAAAAAATCTTAATGTTTTATTTAACACAACATATTCAAAACATCATGACTAAAACATGTAATCAATACACAATTATTAACACTTTTTTTTATACTAAGTTTTCAGAATCCTGTGTGTTATTTACACTTCCAGGCTCTCCACATTTGGAGTCATTGTGTTCTGAGTACTCAACAGACACGTGACTTACGACAACCATATTAGACAGCAACCTGTATTTTTTTTACTTAGAAACAAAAATATCATGCAAAAATGAAGGTAAATAATGGCATTTTCAGATAAACAAAAATAGAATTTATTGCCAGCAGGAATTCACTAAAAGAAATACTAAAGAAGGTTCTTTGTTTTTTGTTTTGTTTTGTTTCGGGGGGCAGGTAATTTATTTATTTTAAATGGAGGTACTAGGGATTGAACTCAGGACCTCGAGCATGCTAGGCATGCTCTACCACTGAGCTGTACCCAACCTCCCAAAGGAAGTTTTCTGGGCAGTAGGAAAATTGCTCCAGGTGGAAATGAAGAAAGGAATAAAGACCAAACGTATATAAATGAAATATATATATAAGATTTTATATCTAGATATAGATATGATTATTTTATGCCAGTTTTAATTTTTAAAAATTGTGGCAAATATATATATATAATGCAGAATTCACCATTTTAATCTTTTTCAAGTGTACGATTCAGTTGGCATTAGCTACATTCACAGTGCTGTCCAGCCATCACCACTATCCATTTCCAGGATGTTTCACCATCCCAGATACTCGGTGCCCATCAAACAATACGTCCTTTTCCCTTCTACTCCCAGGCCCCGTTAACCTCTAGTCTACTTTGTTTCTATGAGTTTGCCTATTGTATTGCCTCATGTTAAGTGGCATCATACAATATTTGTACTTTGATGTCTAGCTTATTTCACTTCGCGTGTTATCCAGGTTCACCCGTGTTGTAAGTATGTGCCAGAATGTCATTCCTTCTTCAGGCTGAGTAATAACCCACTGCGTGCACATGCCATGCCATGTCTATCTGTTCGTCTGCTGGAAGGCGTTTGGGTTGTTTCTCCCTTCGGCTGTTGTGAACAACATTGCTATGAACCGTGGTGTACGAGTTATCTGTCTGAGGCCCTGCTTTCAGTTATTTTGGGTATCTATCTGGAGTGAAATTGCTAGATCATGTGGTAATTCTATATAGAACCTTTTGAAGAACCACTAAACTGTCTTCTAGAGCACTTCGGCATTTTATATTTCTACCAGCAATGCACAAGTGTTCCAATTTCTTTCTGCACATCCTCGCCAACACTCACGTTCTGTTATTGATAATAGCCCTTTCTAATGGGTGTGAAGTGGTGTCTCCCTGTGGTTTTGATACACGTTTCACTCATGGCGAATCTGCTGTGTCCCCTGCACGTACTTATTGGTCACTTGTATATCTTCTTTGGAAAAACATCTACTTCAGTCCTTTGTCAATTTTTACCTTTTGCAAATATTTTCTCCCATTCCGTAGGTTTTGGGAATTTTTAAGTTGGGCTGTCTGATTTTTGTTCTTGTTGAGTTATAGGAGCACTTTATATTCTGGTTATTAGTTCCTTATCAGATAGAAGACTTGCAAATATTTTCTCCCATTCTGTAGGTGGGTTGTCTTTTCATTCTCCTGATAGTGTCCTTTGATGCACAAAAAGTTTTAGTTTTAATGAAGTCAAATTTATTTTTCCTTTTGTTGCCCATATTTTTGTTGTCATATTGCAGAAACCACTGCCAAATCCAAAGTCATGAATAGTCATGTCTGTGTTTTCTTATAAGAATTTTATAGTTGTAGCCCTTAAATTTAGAACTTTGACCCATTTTTCATTAATTCTTATAAATGGTTTAATTCTTTGGCATATGAATATCCGATTTTCCAAGCACCAGTTGCTTGAGACCTTTCTTTCTCCACTGAATGGTTTTGAAACCTTGTGAAAATCATTTGGCCACAGAAGTGATGGTTTATTTCTGGGCTCTCAATCTTACTCCGTTGGCTTGTATGTCTGTCCCAGTGCCAGCACCACACTTTTGATCCCTGTTCCCTTATGAGAAGTTTTCTAACCGGGAAGTGAGTCGTTTTCAAGGTGGTTTTGGCTGTCCTGGGCCCCTGGGAATCCCACACGAATTTTAAGATGGGTTTTTCCATTTCTACAGAAATTGCCGTGGGGGCTGGAGTTTGGGAGGGACTGCACTGCTTTTGGTAGCGCTGCCACCTTACCAATGCCAAGTCTTCCAAACCGTGAGTATGGGATGTCTGTTTATTTAGGTTTACGTCTTTTGGCAATGTTTTGTAGTGATGGCTCTTTCGCCAATGTCTCAGTGTACACGTTTTGCACCTACTTGGTTAAATTTATTCCTAATTTATTCTTTCTGATGCTACTGAAAACGGAATTTTCTTAATTTCCCTTTCAGACTGTTGATGGCGTCTAGAAATACAACCGATTTGTGAATCTGTACCCTGTAACTGTGTGTGCTGTGGATTAGCCAGGGGTCACCTGCAGATGCTTCTCCTTCGTTTCTAACTTGGGTATCTTTCCTTTCTTTCTTGCCTGATTGCTCTGGCTAGCGCTTCCAGAACTATGCTGAATGTAAGTGATGAAGGTGAGCGTCTCGTTCCTAACCTTGGGGGACAGCTCTGTCCCTCTGCACTGAGCGTGTTAACTGCAGGCTTTTCGTACGTGGCTTCTGTGATGCTGAGGCACTCTTCTTCTATTCCTGGCCTGCTGAATGCTTTTTTTTTCCATGAAAGGATGCTGGATTTTGTCAAAAGCTTTTTTTGTATCAGTTGAGATGATCATGTGTTTATTTCTACTAATGTGGTGTATTGATTTTCATAGGTTGAGCCACTCTTGCTTTCCTGAAAATACACCAGTCACTGTGTAACCCTTTCGACATGCTGCCAAATCCAGGGTGCGAGCACTTCGTCAAAGATTTTTGCATCTGTATTCACGAGATATTTACTCTGTCGTTTCCTTTTCCTGTAGTGTCTTTGTGTGGCTTCAGTATCAGGACATTGCTGACTTCACAAAATGAGTTAGAAGTGTTTCCTCTTCCTCTTGAATTTTTTGGAAGAGTTTGAAAAAGATTCTTTTTTTTTTTTTTAACACATTTGCTAGACTCTCTCCATGAAGCCATCTGGTCCCGGGCTTCTCTCCGCTGGGGTTCTGCACACTGTTTCAACCTCATTTTTATAGGTCTACTCATCTGTCCTGGAGTCGGTTTTGGTTAGTATTTCTAGGAACTTGTCCATCTCATCTGTTGTCTAATTTGCTGACATGCAGGTGTTCACAGTGGTCTTTTATAATTCTCGTTTTTGAGAAGTTCGGTAATGTCCTCTTTGATTGTTTTTCGTAGTTTGAGTCTTCCCTCTTGCTTAGTCAGTCTAGCTGAAGGTCTGTCAATTTTGTCGACCTCCTCAAAGAAACCGCTTTCGGTGTCCTTGGTTTTCTCTGTTGTTTTCTAGCCTCAACTTCATCTCTCTGCTTTGTTCTTTGTTATCACTTCCCTTCTGCTAGCTTTGAGTTTACTTTGCTCTTTTTAGTTCCTTAAGGCAAACAATTAGGGTGTTGATTTGATTTTCTGATGTAGACATCTGCAACTGTAAATATCCCTGTGAGCACTGCTCACTGCCTTCCCTAAGTTTTGGACGTTGTGTTTTCATTTTTGTTCTTCTCAAGGTAATTTCTAATTTCCTTTGAACCACTGGGTTGTTTAAAAGTATGTTGTTTAATATCTACATGTTTGTGAGTTTTCCTGAATGTTCACTCTCTATAATCCATTAATTTCACACTTAGGTGTATGTCCAACAGGTATGTGAGCAAAACTGTACCAAGAGACAAACACAAAACACAATGTTCAGTTTGGCTATTAATAGCCAAAAAAGCTTAAATGACTGAAAGAATGGATAAAATGAAGCATAGTCATCTAAGGATATACTATACAGGAAAGAAAAAGAACAAACTACACAACGAGAATGCATCTCACTAATCTAATATTGAGCAATAGAAGCCACGCCTCTCCAAAAAATACACATTGAGTGATTCCATCTATTTAAAGTTCAAAGACCAGACCAAGTAAATTATGTGATTAAGACTGTGTGCTTTGGTGATTAAACTTTAATTATAAAGGAGTGATTTCCATAAAAGTCAGAATAGCGATTACTGTGGAGGAAAAGGCAAGGGTCCTGACTGGGAGGGAGGACAAGGAGGGGCTTCTAAGGTGTTGGCAATGTCGTTTCTTACAGCAGTCAGCTGTTTTGTGGGCATTCGCTTTACGATAATTCACTGAACTGTACTTTTAAAGTAATTTAGTGAGGTGTGCTTTTTTGTGTGCTGTACTTCACAGTATAGAGCTAAACAGAGCGGCTTTGAGTCGGTAACAACCTTAAGCACCTCATAAACGCAAGGGCAAGCAAATGCTTTCTGGAGGAGGAAACCCCGTTCAATCCAGGTCTCAAAGAACTTTCAGGTAGGGTACCAAGCTACATGGTTTCAAAGTAAGGGAGGAAAAAATCCACAGAACACACAAGGAAGTCATCACTGGTGACAGCCAGCAGGGATAAAAGGCCTCAGAACTAGACCCACAAAGACTCAACACTGCAATTAACATATATAGAATGTGAAATTGACAAATCTGACAAAACTGATTAAAAACAAAAGGGAAAGTATAAATTAGTGTTAATGATTAAAAGATGCCACCAGGGATAATTAGCTAACAAGAGAATATTTTGAACTTTATGCCAAAAACTTGTAAAGAGATGAAATATACAAATTCCCAGAAACTTGTAACTTAACAAACTGACTTAAATGTAAACAATTCCCAAACATTTAAAAAAATCTAATCAGCATTTCAGAACCTTTTGTTCCTGAAACTAGCTCAGAGGCTTTATTGCTGAGCTCTACCACACGCTCAGGGAACCAGTTAATTAGAATCCACGGCAGAGACAGAACGCGCCTTAGGCTCGCTGCAGGGAGCCGAGCGTAACCTGACGGAGATAATGTAAGAAAACGACAGGTCAGTGCAGCTGTGAACATGGATGTTTAAAAACCCTAAACTGAGCATCGACACGGTGTTGTCTTCCTATACAAGGTGGACTTATCCTAGAAAGGCAAAGCTGGACGTGCACTGAAAAGCGTCAGACACTGTAATACACTGCAGTAACTGATCTAAACGGGAAAGTAGTATTTTTCAGTAGAAGCAGAACTGGTAAGGTCAGACATCCACTGTGACAAAATGAAACAAATGAAAGACAAACCCCTACCACAGGGCTCCTTACCTGTTGGTTACCTAGCAGGCACCTACAGCAAAGGTGTCTCGGCGAAAATGCTCAAACACAAAGATGCCCCACAACGCCGTGGGTGCGTGGTAGTGTACTGGAGACAACAGCAAGTTCCGGGAGAGAAAGGTCCAAGAATGAGTGGCAGTTCGCTGCAGATGACGTGGTTGTGAACGTAAAGGATTCAACAGAACCCAGATTCTTACTAGAATGAGACTTTGCAAGGATGTCAGATACACAACATGCAAAAAAACTAATTTCTCTGTGGCAATGACAGGCGGCAGGGGCTGGGGTCCACACTCAGGGCCCTTTCCTCCCTTCATGTCCAGACAAGTGTCAGACCTCATGGAGTGCAGCTGAGTGTCCCTTCCTGTCCGCCCCTTTGCCAGTTTAGATTTTCCACTGGCCTGGTGGACGGCCTCCCTCCATGAATGTACAGACCTGGAGGGCAGCGACATAGTCGGCTTTCTCAGTACCCACTGGAGCCAAGCATGGTGCCAGGAGCAGGGCAAATACGCAGTAAGTATTCAAATAACTGCATTTTGTCTCTAGAGGTCTCCAATGGAAGGCAGGCCTCTGGGCCCCAGGCACCCAGCACACTAGCCTCTTCTATCTCTGGGCACTACTTGATAGGACTAGAAAAAGGTGGAGGAGCAAAAGCCAGCTCTGCCGTCACCCACTCTGGGAGTCCCAAGGCCTCTCCCTCTGCTCAGCTCCCCCAGTGCTAACAGGCACACCATGCACTCCTGGGCCCCTCTCCCACTCAGAGTGACCGGGGCAGGGGTGGGGGGGTGTACTGCACTGCCAGGACCCCAGGTCAACCCCAGTCCACACTGCTCAGAGCCCCCCTCCCGAGCCGGCACTGGCCAAACCAAGGAGACAGCCCCGCAGGAGCCAACCTCACTTCTTAGGGCTGAGGTTAAGATTCTGCTCGATTAGGGAGTCCAGGGCCTGAACTTGTGGTTCTGCTCCAAGAATGACCTCTTACCTGTGGGCTTCTGGGTCAGCCGCTGACCATGCAACTTTCCTGCATACACACTAACACAAAATACCCTAACCACGAGGCAGACAGGAATCACACACCTTGGGCAAGAGTGGGGGAAAATCAAACCCAAAGAGCAAATGAATGCACGCAAAAGATGCCTAGTTCAAATTAATGGTTTTATTTCCACCTGTAACACTAGCAGGAGTCCAAAACAGACTGATATACATGGATATAGTTTAAATGTAACAAAGAAAGATTTGAACTATGTACACGGAGAAAGGGAAAGGGATTTTTCACGTCAATCTTCCTATTTTACAATGTCTGAGTAGTAGAAACTAAACATTTTTTCCCAATTTAATTTAGTATGAAGGAATACAACTTTTATGATCAACCATTTGTCCTTAAGCATAAACTGCAAGAGATTTCGGCTGTGTGGCTGTCTTGGCTCCTGAAGCCTGGGTGTTGTCAGAACGTGACACAGAGCATCCCACGGAGCCCAGAAGGAACTACCGGCAACGGTGCCCGACAACGGGCGGACTCGCCACACACCATGCTGCTGAGAACCAGTGCCCCGCCCACCCCGACGCCAAGTAGAAACTACTACTTTCACCAAGCGAACTGGCACTGAGCCAGCTTAAAAAGTCAGAGCAAAGAGTGAAACAGTTTCCTTTTCACACAGAGGAGGGACACTCCTTCAGCCCCCTTTAAAGTGAATTCTGTGCTGAGTCTCTGCTCCTCCAGAAGGATACACTGAAGGTCAGTTATTGCTAGCAAAGCCAGAGGAGGCCCCTCTCCCACCTCAAAGATGTTTCACATGAAAAGGCTGCTGGTTTGCTCTGAAGCCCTCTGAGGAAGGACGGGTGCAGAGGGGGAGGCAGCGGGCACTGCAAGGCCTCTCCCCAGCCAGCCACCCCCAAGCCCTGTACTGCGAGGGGCGGCCTGGGCCGCCCTGCTGCCTCCTTGAGGACCCGAGGCTCTCACACCTATGGAGTTGAGTAGAGGCTGTTGCCCGGGCCCCTAGGGAGGAGAGGCCGCCGTACTTTGCCAACCAAACCCTACAGAGTGATCAAAGCCCAAAGGATCACGGCCTAAGGGCCAGAAGAGCAGCTTCTGAAATGAATGTCAATTGGTGGAGGTGGTACCCGAGCGCTTCGAAACGCAGGGCGGCCGTGACTTGGGCAACAGCTTGGACACAGGTGGCTAAATAAGGCCACAATTACCGCCACCACCGCCCAGGGTCTATGCTTGAGTAGACATCAGGCAGTGGGAACTGAGGGCCAGAGGGCGTGTGGTAAACAGGGTGGATTTTTATCAGAAAAGAGAGAGGACACCCAACCACGTGCCTGCCCCACTGACCTCGCGTGGCCTGGGCCAGGTGAAGGACTCAGGCACGGGTAAAGTTCCTGAGAGCAGGTGGACAACAGGACGGGGTGAGACAGGCACTGCTCCGTAGGCCATGAGGCCTCTGAGGGACACTAGGAGTGCTACATCTCCTGGGCTGCTGAAAGGCAGGTGAAGAACGGGCTTTATTGCACATTTCGTTCTTAAGAAACTGGGAATTGCCCTGCAGAGTCCTTGTGATCTGGAGGGATCCCTGACATCAATGCAGGTGGAGTCACGGGTGACCTGACTCTCACGTGAAGAGAAGTCCAGTGGTTGGTCTTCCCGGCGCTGTGCGTGCACCTGGGATCCTCAGGCCGGAGGGACTTTGTCTGGCTTGGTCACCGCGGTGGGCAGACGCCTCAGATAAGGGGGAACGCCTGGGAGAGCTGGGTGGACCTGCTTGCTCTCCAGCTAGGGCCGGCTCCTCAACGGTATTGCCAGGAGGAAGCTGGGGCAAACTTCACAAATGGGGAAAACTTCTTGGCAAACGTGCAGGTTCTGGAAAGAGGCTGGAACCACGATTCTCAATTCCAATGTGCCTAACTCCCTCTCTCCTACCCTGGATCCAGACTACCCAGAGGAGCAGATGGAGACCTGGCCTGGGAGGGCCCGGGCTCCAGCTCCACAGCATCAAACTAGAGGTAACAAAAGGATCTAAGAGGGGCTGGAAACAAAAGAGCAGTTTACATATCAGATGCTGATTTTCAAACAGTCTTTTTGAGCTCAAGAAACTGGAGGCAGATAACCCACGTGAGGCCGCAAGGAAAACCCAGCCAGGCTCTGTCTGTCCATCCATCTCTCCTGAGCGGCTCCCAACACTTCATATATAAATGGGGTGGTATCTTTTGTGGTTGATCTTTTTCCTGCAAGTTGGACAAGTGTTAGCATTCTTAAGGGAATCGCGGAGGCACTGGCTACAGAAGACGTGGCCACATTCTGTAGAAACAATGAGACGTCCATTCTGCACAATCTAGAAAAGGTAAAAAAGAACAGCCTTCACATCTGTTCCTACCCCAGAGCAGCAGGAGCCCCCAGAGAAGCCACTCCTGCCCGTCCCCAGGAAGGCGAGTGGGAGAAGGGCCAGGGCTGCAACGGGAGGCAAACGGCACGGAGACAGTCTGCAGAGTTAAAGGCGCTGCTCTGCAGGCTCAGGCAGGCACGAGGGGCATCTGTGAAGCCGAGAGCAGAGGCAGGAGCCAGCCCGGCAGCAACAGCCCCAGGGGGCAGTGCCGGAGGCCCCAGGGGCCACAGTGAACACTAGCAGCTTCCCCTTAGGCTGGGCAGGAGCAGCGGGCTGATGTGCTTGCAGGAGGCAGCCCAGAGAACAGAGGGGCCAGGGCTGAAGACTGCAAGGCCCAAGGAGGAGACGGCACACCCCCCTTCACAGACCTGTGACTAGCCCTGTGCCAACCCAGGCGTGATGTCAAATCCCACCTCATGGCAAGATGCGCTCATCTGATTCTTTCACTGAAGCAGCTTGAAAACCAGAATCAGGGAAGACACAGCTAGGTTTGCTTACCTCTGAGTACCCGTCCATGCAGATTGGACAACTGACAGTACCAGACGGCCTAAAATCACAGTGCTTCATGTCAGTTCCTCAGCAAACTCAAACATTCAGCAACTAACTCTAAGTGGTTCGTATAAGCAGCCCATCTCCCCTTTTAAAAGCCTCCTGTGACCCTGCCTTAGCACAGGCACCCGAGAGACTTACAAGAAGGCTGGCTGCCCCCATGGGGGCAGGGTGGCTATGAGAAAGGGGAGGAGAGAGATGGAGGAAGAGAAGGTGCAGACCACCGGTGTCACGAGTCCTCCCCACCCCGACTTGTGCTCCCGCTCCCCCTTCCAGCCTCCCTGTCTGGCACCCACTTCCTCCGAGCACTCCTGTCGCAGAAGGCTGGGGCCAGGGGGTCTGTTCTTTGCATCAGCAGTGGGGCCCGCCACCAGCCTGGAGCCACTCACAACCACCCTGCCAGTACCTGGCAGGCCCTGGTCCCAGTGGGAACAGCTCAGCCCAGCTCTGAATCCGCTTGCCTCCCAGATGCTCCAACAAGCCCTTCTTGAGCCAAGGGCTCAAAGCGCTTGCTGAAGGTCCAGAATTTCTAACACCCTGCCTCCTGCCCCAACATTTCCACTGAAGAATGGAGACAAAGGAAGGAGATCCTCACTCCAGGGGGACAAGGGGGTCCCACATCTCCAGAGGCTTCCTGGCAAGAGCGCTTGTCCCCAGCACAGCAGCAGCGGAGCAGCGGGCAGGCTGGTACCTGGGTCCTGTAGCTGCCTCTTCCCTGGCGTTTCTAGGAGTATGGGTGGTCACGTACACGTCCCTGTCCCTGGACAGCTCCTCCTCATCGCTGCTCACCACGCAGCTGTCAGCCTGGTCCTGGCGCAGCCTCCTCGCGGTCCTCCTTGGCCGCCTCCTTTCTAAGATATGAGTCCATGTTCAGGGGCAGGAGCCTCGTGGGCCTCATGGCCCTCGCACCCTCACCACCGACCCTCCTTCCTGCCTGGCAAAGACCACCCTCCCATCTCCCCAGAAGCCCCGATCCCTGCCGTGAGCAGACGCCTGAGCTGTGGGGCAGTCTGTAGCGGTCCGCTGTCTCCGAAATCACAGGGACTACAGCTCAGCACCAAGGACTGACGGCAGGGGAGACGGCGGCGCCCCCGCAGGCGTGTTCCTGCCTGCTGTTCTCGCGCCTCTAGGTCTGGCAAGGCCTACAGCCCCGCACCCTCACCCACATCCATTCTCTATCCAAACCCAACGGAAAAGGGAGGAAACCAACCACTCACCTTCAACAATCTATTAAAAAGGAGAGAAACGAAAAGACACAATCAATTCGACATAAAATATTCGATATTCTTTTAAACTCTTAAACAATAAAACTGAAGTATGTTTCAGATGCAAAATCCTCGGGGCAGCAGTGGAGCCCCCCCACCCAGTGTGGGACAGGTGCCAGTTCCAGCAAAGCCTCCAAGCAGCTGACACCCTATACTTCCACCCTGGGTTTTCAGTGAGTCTCTGGGAGCTGCTGGTTGTGTGACCTGGGGAAGGTACTCACCCTCTGAGAGCTGCCAGCTTCCTCTTCTGAAAACGGAGGCCCCGGTGCCCACAGCTCACCCTGCGGTCGTGAGGACTAAGTGAGACCACGACCATGCCGCAGGGCACCGGGGCCACAGAGTCCACGACCAGCCCCACACGCGCTCCCGGTCCTCACTCCATGGAGGCCACACCGAAGACGGGGGCCACAGAGCCCACGACCAGCCCCACACACGCTCCCGGTCCTCACTCCATGGAGGCCACACCGAAGACGGGGGCCGCAGAGCCCACGACCAGCCCCACACACGCTCCCGGTCCTCACTCCATGGAGGCCACCACCGAAGACGGGGGCCTTTATTGTGCGGAGGGTTTGCAGTGCTTAATACATGGTTAAAAATAATTAACCCACTAAACAAACAAAACCAGGTCATGCAGGGACTAATGAGAGTGCCACACACCAAGGACTGGGGTCAGTTCGAGCCTGCGTTCTCAAGGCCCCTAGAAAAGGTTTATGAGAACTCCACGAGCCCATTGCCCAGCCCCAGGCAAGCTTGGCTTCACTGCGCTTCTTAAAAACTGAAGGTTTGTGGCAACTCTCTGCTGAGCAAGTCTATCAGCATCAATGTCCCAGCAGCATTTGCTCCCTTTGTGTCTGTGTCACCTTTTGACAAGTCTCACATTTCAGTTTTTCATTATTATACTTGCCATGGCGACTTGTGGTCAATGACCTTTTATGTTACTGCTGTAATTGTTTTGGGGCACCATGAACCTCACCTATAGAAGATGGTGAACTCAACTGATAAATGTGTGTACTGACTGCTCCACAGACCAGCTGATCCCCGACTCCCTCCCTCTTTGGGGGGCCTCCCTATTGCCTAGACACAACAATATTGAAATCAGGCCAGTTCATCACCCTACAGCAACCTCAAGCGTCCACGTGAAATGGAGAGCTACACACCCCTCACTTTCAGTCAAGACTTCGAGGCGACTGCGCTCACAGAGGGAGGCTAAGACAGCAGAGGCCGGCAGGCCTCTCGTGCCCCTGCTTCCTGCCCTCCTGCTCCCACGGCAGGTCAAGGCTAAGATGTCTGGACTTACTCCTAGAGACCTGCTCCTCCAGCCTTCTCAACACCACAGAGCAACTCCTCCATGTGCTAAAACCCAATTCTGCCTCGAAACAACTAGAGGGATTCAGTTTTCCAGCCTCAGCCCTCAACAGATATAACAGCCATCCCAGGGGGAAAGCAGGCCTGAGAGTAAGACTCTCATCTCGCAGATGAGAACCTACCGAGACACTCTCCCTTCCCCCCAGAGGGGCCAGAGGGCGACTGTGAAACTGGGGGGCAGTCAACGTTGTCATCGGGCCCATGCTTACTGGAAGGAAAGCGTGGGCTGGCAGGTGCTGTCCACACGAAGGCCAGGGGAGGGGAGCTTCGCAGTCAGCCAGGAGCAGGAGGAAATTCTGGCGTGGGCAGGGATGACCCCAGCTCTTCTCAGCTCCAATGCGGCTTTTACCTCCCTCTGCCAAGACGGGCCCCTGACCAGGTGTGGACATGCCTGCAAGGAGGGTGATGCCGCTGCCCCCAGGCACCAGTGTGCGGCAACCGCGTCTCCACAGGTTCTTTTGAGACCGAGCTCACCTCTTGGCAGGGCTGAGCTCAGGGAGGGACCTGAACACGGAGTCCCCAGGGACGTCCCAAGGCCCAGGATGCTACTGGCACACGCAGGTGCTCCACACTTGACCACTCAGTAAATGAATACACACAGCGGCCAGGGAGCCACCTCCACTGCTGATGACTGTCCCCGTCTTCAATGGAAGAACAGCTCAGAGATGAGACTTCTTGCCCAAAGGGCAGAAAAGAAGCCTGGCCCCCCAGCTCCACGCCGCCCCCGTGACATGAACCACCTCCGCGCTGATGGGCACAGATACTAACAATGGTGTTCCCTCCACCCAGCAACTGAATACATCAAATTCCAGAATCCCTGCAGGAGCCTGCAAGCGCTCTGGAATGGCCCTTCCCCATGGATGTAGCCCTGCAGGTCACACCATGCTTGCCTGAACAAGAGACAGAGAATGGGGAGGAGCCTCAGGGCTTCCGAAGTTGACCACAGAGGTAAACAGAAGGGGACCAGGAGAACGCACGCACCGAGCCTCACACCTGGTGGAGAGCCCTTCAGAGAAGCAAAGTACCAAACCACTCCCCAGCCCCGGGTGTGTGCGGCCAGTCAACGCTGCGACAAACCAGCCCAGGCTCAGGCCCACCTTGGTCTGGCTCCCCTTTCCTGACTATGGAGTAAACCAGAGGTCAGCAGTAGTGACAAGTGGAGACACGAGGAGAACGGATGACCCGCAGCAGGCACCGGCACTGCCTGCTTTCACAGCTGGGCACGCCGACTCCAGGTCAGTCACCCAAAGGCCCTCAGAGCTTCTGAAGCATAAGTGAGCCTCAGAACACCTCCAACTGCTGACACCCATGTCACAGGCTCCTGGTCAGTGGGGGAACACAAGCCCTTCTACCAGTGGACAAAACACCTGGCATTCTAGGTGCCTCTTAGGGCTGCAACAGTCCGCTGGGGTGAAACGACAGAGCAGAACCACGTAGCAGGAGCTGGGGTCACTGGAGGGCAAGCTGACCTCCTGGTGTTTCCAAGAAAGCTCATCCAGCAGAGTCAGAGGGCCGCGTGCGCCAGATGACCTTCCTAGTGAGCACCACGCACTGTCCAAAGGAGAGACGGCCATCTCCAACCACTGTGTCCACTAAGGATGCTCTGGAGCTCTGGCAGCTGCACACGTCACACAACTGCAGACTGCTACCACTGCAGCAGTGCCAGGAGCACCAGGAAGACGTGCTGACATTAACGTCCTAGTCAAGTACTCAATCCATGTCAGGCTCCACGTTTTCCCAGTTCCTGGATATGATGTCTGGGCTCTTCCTCATACACAGCCGCCTTGGTTCACTCATTCTAGCAGTCACATGTGCCGAATATGCCCTTTGCAACTCCTAGCCAGGGAAGGACCAGGCTCTGTCCCTGCCTGCAAGGGAGGCTTGATCATGCAGACTGTTTCAAAAGTCCCATAAATAAAAACCAAGCAGGGTACAGAGTATAAAACAAATAGCACTATTCATCAGTACACTATGGAAGCAAAAAAAAGGGCTCCAGGAAAACCAACCTGACTTTAAAAGAAACAATCTTTTGAAATTCAGTGAAGGAAAATAATCCAAGCAAATACCGGTTTCAGTAACTTCCCCCTGTAAACTCAGTTCCTTAGAGAGAGGGGTGAGCCTCTTCTGTCACTGCATCACCTCTGGCCAGAGCAGAGACTGGTATACTGTACACACTAATGAAAAGTGGCCTGAAAATTTTAACTTATCCATTAAACTAGATAAGAAAGCAGAAGGGCGGAAAATACAAGCAGAGATTTCCAATCAATGGCAGGCTAGCATTTCCATCAATTTTCCCACTGAAAACAACCAAAAACAAGATAAAACATACATATGCGAAAACAAAGAGGTATGTAGGGAAGATGATAATCCAGAGGGGGAAAAAAGCACAGAATATTCTTAAAAATTTAAGCTTACTTTTGAAAGCCCCACAGAGAAACCAAAGCTCAGGCAGGAACCATGGGGGCAGGCTACCTAGTGAAGGCCAGCCACCGGGTGCAGGCCAGGCTTAAAGCCAGTCCCAGCAACTATCAAAGAACTGACATTCAGGATGTATCTTCTGACCAGTAACGCAAAGAATCAACAAAAATAAAACAGCCGTATATCTGGATGTTAAAAAATGTAAGTTTGATAACTATGTTGAATTAAATGTAAAATACTAACAATTTGTAGGATATAGCTAAAGATAATTTAATCTTAAATGCATTTTTTGGAAAAGAGACAATGAAAATTAGAAAAACAGCAAAATAAACTCAAAGAAAGAAAGACAATGAAAACAAATTTACAAGAGAAAGGATCCACAAAGCTAAAAGTTGCTTCCCTGAAAGGCCTAATAAAGCTCTGGTGATCCTAATCTAAAAAAACAGAAAACACAAACAACCAACATCCGAAGCACAGAGAGACAGCACTGCAGATTCCACAGAACACAGGACAGTATGGAAAGTTTATGACAATAAAGTGAGAAGGTTAGATGAAATCAACAAATTCCTTCCAAGTGTAATAGCCCAAACCCACTACAACTCGAGGGTAAGTACCTGCACTGTAGAGCTCTGCCAAGCATTCGAGGAAGAAATAATCCCAAGCTTACAAAATCTTCGGGAGAACAACAAAAAAAGTGCCCAACTCACTCTGTAAAGACAGTGATACCCTGATACCAGACCCCGCTAAAGAAAACCTACAGACGTCCAACCTCACTCACAAAAACAGAGGCAAAGGCTATACGTACAACAGTAGCAAACCGAACCTAGCAACATAAGATGGCGTCACAACCACAGTGCTTAACTGGTTTAACACTAGAAGCCAATGTAGTTCTCCACTGCAACATGTAAAAGGGGAAAGATTATCACTACACGAAATTGTTCATTTTCCCACTGATTCATGATGAAACTTGTAACCGAACAGAAAACAGAGACATTTCTCCAATCTGACAGAGGGTATAAACAACCAAAAAACACAGCAGAGGTCTTATTTAATGGTGAAACTCTGTAAGGACTCTTCCAGATTTGGAATGAAACAGGGATGTCCATGATTGTCACCATTTTTATTCATCCAGTGCCAAATTTTTAGCCAGAGTGTAAAGGGCAGGGGAAAAAAAAGAAGGAAAGAAGAACCAAAACTTCTTCTGTGTACATAGAAATTCAAAAGATTTACAGGTCAAAAATTGTTAGACCGAAAAAAGGAAAATCAGTTGCATTTCTTTACACTGGCAAATAACAATCAAAAAAAGGTAAAAATTTTGAACATTTTTTATAGCAACCTAAAATACTATGTACCTAGGAATAAATCTTCTAACAAAAAACTTGCAAAACCACTACAGGGAATATTATAAAACTTCACTGAGAGGTAGTTAATCTCATCTCAAACCATACGCAAGTCAATTCTTATGGATTACAGACCTAACTGTGAAAGGCAAAACCGTAAAGCTTTTAGAATACAGAAACGTATTTTTATGATATGTGATTTTCACCAACAAACTGATAAATTCTACTGTATTGAAATTAAGAACCTCTGTATATAAACCAAAAGGAGAAAAGACAATCCTCTGGGTAGAAGATACAAAACTTACCTAACAGCAGGCTCACATTTAGAATTCAAGGAGTGGATCCTAAAAAGCAGGACAAGGAAAACAACCACATGGAAAAACGAGCACAAAAAAAGATTCCAACAGGCAATTCACCAAAGAGGAAAATGAATCACCACTAAAGACGAAAAGGTGTTCAACCCCATCAGCAACGGGAAAACACAAAACCACGTGGAAAACTCCGGGCGACCACCAGACTGGCTAGAAGCACAGGGGTGGTGTGGGGGGGGAACAGGAGCCTCCAACACTGGCGGGCATGGAGACAGTCGCAGCCTCTCTGGAGAAGAGTCTGTCACAAACGTAGTGACAGTCAAAGATCTACATACACTGGGACGCAGCAGTGATGGCCTTTTGGGGGAATGCAGTGCTGAAATACGTTCGTTTTCACACTCCCCTGCAGGCGCGGCCTGAGGTAGCCCTGAGCTTGTAAGTCATCTAATAGATGCCCCTTGTCCTGAGTTAATAACTATTAGGTTTTCCAAGTAGATCTGCTTAGAGTGAGAATTTCAGCCTCAGGTATATTGCTCAATGTAAACTTTAAAGCTGGCATTTGGATTTATTAAAAGAAACGACAGAAAAAGAGCACAAGTTAAGTCCAAAACAAAAGCTCCCCACACCCACGGAAACAGGAAGAAGGTGGGAAAGCGCAAGGAAGAAGCCCAGGTAGCGAGGGCAGTCCAGCCGTCAAAACAAAGGCAGGGAGCAGAAGGGGGCACCATGGCGCTGGGCTGCCACCAGCAGAAGCCGCCATTGTCTCTCCGAGGGCAGGAGACAAGGCCTTGTGAGCAGGATCCTGGCCATCCCCCCCCCGAGCCTGGCACACCGCAGGTGGGCACTGATTGCTGGGGAAAACAGGACTGACACCACTTTTCTAAGTGTTAGTCAGCAACTGGGCTGCAGGCTTCAGCCAAGGGACCAAATTAAGCTATCTTTCCAGAACCTCAGGGAGCCTGCAGGGAGCAGCAGCAAAGTTGTATGTGTGTATGTATGTGAGAAAACACACTCATCAGGCCCAGGGAGGGACCACTTACAGCTAAAACTACTCCAACTTATCTCAGAAAGTTCCAACAGATCTCCGAGAAATTACTGCCTCCTGTTTGGGAGCCAGGTCTCCCCTGCGCATCCATACAGTCTGTTGGGGACAGTTTAACAGCTCAGCAAGAGCAGCTGCCTTTCCTTTGTGGGGGGGGCGGTGCGAATGAGGGACAGACATACAACAGGGCAGCCCAGCAGTTTCAAACCAAGACGAGAGTCTAAATCTCTTCATCTGTCAAGACAGTTCCCTGTCCTCGCTTTTTTTTAAGAGAAGTCTTGAAGCTTCTCAGTGCAACCCTACTCTAAAGTTTGAAGCACAGCCAAGATAACTCCAAGACCAGAGAGCCCCAAGGCCACGGGGAAGACTCAGCTGCTGGCAACCTCCACTCATCCCCGCCCAAGCCACAGTCCCAGCAGCGCCAGCCTCCCACCTGCCCAACTCTGTCAAATGTATCACCGCCTCCACTCTACAAACTGCACAACGTTATCCGAAGGCACTACAGAGGCGCCCTGGAGAGAGGCAAGGGTGTCCTCAGGGTGCGGGTCCGTGGGCTGACCCCCCACGGGGATGCACCCTTGCATCTCAGCAGGCCAGCCAGAACTGCTTCTCAAAACATCCTCTGACCAGCTCAGGTCTCCCCCATCAAGGGCCACATGGGGGCGTGCACACTCCCTACCTGAGGCCGTAGCTGGCACTGTGGCAAGGGGGCACAGCATCCCAGGCACCGCCCTCCCTGGAGTCATGACACAATCCCCTGGCATCAGGTGGCAACGCTGGGTGCCTGCACCATCCAAGGCAGCTGCTTCTGGAACTGGGGGACTTCCCACTGGCAGCGCTGAGCAAACACTCCCGTTCCTACCAGCTGTGAGGGTGTAAACTCCTGTTTGCTGGGCACCACGTTAGGAACCAGGTCCTCAAATACAGAATCTCTTTTAATTCTCACAATGGTTCAACTCAGTAAGAAGACTAGGAGGCCAGTGAGCCCTATCTGCATGGATGGCATTATCCCCATTTTATGGACAAAGTGAGTGAGGCTGAGTAACTCGCCCAAGGTCACACAGCTGGTGGAAAGTGCAGAATCAGGGACTAAAGAGAGATCACGCCTTGGCGTTCTCCCCAAGACTTTGCTGCCAGCTCTGGAAAAGGCCAAGGCAGAGACTCACTGATGTGATTAATTTAAGCCACAAAGCCACAGCAGATGATTCTTCCTGAAACATTTTCCATCTCGAGCTCCACTCAATGCATGATTTCTTCAGCACAACTCGTAACCTGCGACCGAGGTCTTCGGATGTGCTGGCGGGGGCGCCCACAGCCAGGAAAGGGCCACAGCACTTACCACGACGGAGTCGTTGTGCGTCAGGTCGACCACCACGGGCTCTAACGACTCACAGGTGAGGTCCACTATCTCATCTCCAGCTTCAAAAGAAAGCGTTTTAACAGCATCAGGAGGAAGTAAGGCACGCCGGTCCAAGTGCGCCAACGCGGTCACAGGCGGAGCGTGCACTTAGGCCAGACTCAAGCCGCGGAAGCGCGGAAATCACGAGCAGCTGGACCAACCCCTTTTCGAGGGGTGACAGGCAATGAACACCCTTCCGGGCTTCTGCTGTGACAATGCACAGTTTTCACAAATATAGCACCGGTGTGTGCGGGTGTCCGTGCTCACACCCCTCTGTCCCTGGGGCCTCGCTGCTGCACAGGCCTCTTCGCCCTCCACCGGCAAAGAGGAGGGCGGACGTGTGCCAGGCAGTTCCCCACGCTCACGGCCAGCAGGGAGGAAGAGAGCGCAGAACACAACTTCCACTTACATCAACTGAAAAAAATTCACAACCGTTTTTGTTTCTATTATCACCAACATTAAAAAGCATAAGGGTAGGACTTTCAGAAATAATATTTATTTAATATTTGGGGAAAATGATTTTTAATACACTTAACATATAAATATTTGATATTTTCTTGTATTAAAATAAAAACCACCATACATCAAAGATGTCCAACATAATTTATACAAGATGATTTCATCCTTTCTTAAGGAATATTCCATGTATATGTGTGTGTACATGTGTGTATATATACACACACACCATAACTTAGAGCCATTTTCTTTCTGGTTGACACAATTTTAGGCTCTTAAACATAAAAGCAATGCTCCAGAGCGCAGCTTGTGCACAGAGCCCGGCACGGTTCTAAGTGGCTCGTGTTTCTGCCTCACTTCCATCCTGTGACCACACTATGCAGCAGCCCCCAGCACCGCCCCACCACCGATGAGGCCCCCCCCCGCCACGCCCCCGCATCCCCCACACCCGCGCCCCCCGCCACCCTTACCGCTTTCCACAAGCTCTATGGGGTCCGCCTCCGAAGCCATCTCCGGGGCGGAGGCCGCTTCTCGAGCTCGCTTCTGGGCTTGTCTAGAACTCACTGTCCCCCCGCGACGCTTTCTCTGAGGGCATCCAGAGGAAAAGGAACAGTCACACGAGCTTCTGACCATCAAGATTCCAGCAAGAATAAAAAAGGTCACCATGGGAATGGTTCACCTCACTGAGAACAGGAGGCCAGCGAGCAGACCTGAGGTCGGGGTCCTCTCAGAACTTGAGATTCTAGAACACTGAATGTTTAGACAGAGATCGTGCAGAACATACAGTGAATACAAATTCTGTAAAGTAAAACTTCCATCGCATCAGACTAGCGACAGCATGTGACGCACAAGTCCGTGGAAGCCTCTGGTCCTGGCTGGGATGGCCAGAAGCCCTTTCTTCTGACAGGGAGCCGCAGGCCCACCTCCCTTGTGTTTGTGTTTGGCCTCATTAAGCTCTTTTTGTTTTTCAGCCCAAAGACCTTCACTTTCCCAGCTGTCCACCCACTGTGAAAAGCAGGGCTTTCTCTGGTTAAGTTTCCTGGCCTCTCGCCCTCTAGAATACCACCAAGTTGTGGTTTACCCTCTAACAACCACCCCCATGGCTCCAGGAACCAAAGTTTTCTAAAAGAGCTGTTCTTAGTGGTGGCCCGAGAGCCACGCCTTCCAGAGAATTCAGGCTATTAAGTGGCCTGTCTGCGTCCAGGCGCTGTGCCAGCCTGCCCCCCGCACCCTCAGCTGCCCGGTTGCCCACACCTTCCAGCACTTCTGGGCCGGCTGGCTCTGACAGATGTGGTGAGGTCCTGCCCCTGCACCCTTCCTCAGGAGACAACCTCCCCCACAGACCTGCAGCCTCTTATTCCCACCCTGTGCGCACCCAGCCAACGCTGGCCCCTGGGCTTCAGGGTCTCTTCTCCCCTCAACCCGGCGCTGCTCCTCCGGGCACTGGGCCTGTTCCGCTTCACGCTGGGCGACGTGCGGCAGTCCCGTGAGTACTGAGTCTAAACCCCCTCACCAGCACCAGCCTCGCAGAGTTCCCCTCGGGACTGGGCGCTGTAATGTGTGCAGAGCCCTAAACATTCTTAGAAGATGTCATCACTACCCTAATTCCTTATGGGCCTTGTCAGGCATCCCTGGAAGCTGGGAGGACCAGTGATCACCCGTTAGACCTGCGCAAGGCCCAGAAGCACCCGTCACCCGACCCGACCCTCGCAAGGCAACGGAGAAAAAGCCCGATTCTGTCTGTTCTGCCTGCTGCTCTCTATCAAACAGACACTTCCCCGGAGTTTCGGAAGCATAGCCGGGTTCAGCAGCTTTCCCTGGACCTAAGAACAGGGAAGCCCAGGAGGGCCCAGTGGCAAGCGGCAGCGGCCGCTCCGACTCTCCAGGAAGGAGCCGCTCCGTCCCCCCAGGGAGCTGGCCCGTGGCCGCGGCACAGTCTCCTTACTGCCTGGTGCTTACGGCCTTTCCCAGCAACTACCAGATGACCCAGGGCTCCTTCACCTTCACCCCATTCTCTTGAAAGCTGTTCTTGTATCTTCTCTCCTCTGAAAAGGACCAAATCTTTCTCAGCAGACACTGCTGAACAGAACCCTTCACACCCCACCACAGTTCCTGGGTGGCTTCTCCGTGAGGGAGTGAGAGGCAGCCGTGGGTCTGGGCCAAAGTCCAGGAGCTGAACCCTAAAAACCCTGCTGCTGTCACTGCACTGGTGTGTCCTGCCAACCCGCCCCCCCCCCCAACCAGCAGTCCTTCCCAGGCTGCTCCTGCAGCCTCTCCATGCCTTTCCCCAGGCACTCTTCCCAGCCTGGACTCCCCTTCCTCACCAGGCACTTCTGACACAGCTGTCAGGAGCCCACTCAACTGTCTCCTTCATTGTGAGGAGAGCCCTCATCTCTCCTGCTGATCATCTCATGACCACCCCTCCGCCCTACACACACAGAAGAAGCCCCCTGCACAGCTGTTCCACCTCCTCTTCCACCGGGACTCCCGGAGGGCAGGGAGGAGGTGGCTGTTAAGACAGGACCAGGCTCAAGAAACCCTAACAGATTTGCAAAGACCCCCTCCATGGGCCTCCTCGTCTTGGCACAGCTCTCCCCCTCCTTCCCAGCAGAGCCCTCAGAGGTGCACAGCTTTCAGTTAACACTGACCACTTGATCACTACCACCTAAGTCGTACACGCCACCCTAAGGAATTTTAACCAACTTCTTCACACACTCATGCAAGAGGCTACACTGCTCTATGTGTCCAGATCCTGCCTGGGCCAGTGTGGGCTTCAGAGGTGAGGTGCCCAAGCTTAGGACACGTTTCCCTTTAGGGGAACTGCAGTGGCAGCCGGCAACTAAGGGCCAAGGTGGGAGGTCATCTGCCTTTTAAAAGGGCAGGTCCAGGGGAGGGTATAGCTCAGTGGCAGCATGCATGCTTAGCATGTGCAAGGTCCTGGGTTCAATTCCCAGAACCTCCTCTGAAAATAAGTAATGAAGCCTAATTACCCACCCTGCCAATAAAATAATGTAATAAAAGGGTAGGTCCAGGGAAAGAGGACTTTTTGTGTAAGAATATCGACAGTAGGCCTGGAACACAGTGGGGGCCAGGGAACAGAATCCACAGGATTTCCATCACTGGTCACCCTGGGAACTGTTGTTCAGCCTTCTGCCCCCACCTTCCCGACACCACTCCTCACAGCACCGCTAGAAACTGGAAAGAGGGTATGAGGCCTTTTCACATCTGTTTCACCCGATGTGAATGCAGAAAACAGCTGTTTTGAGTTTAGATTACATGAGCAACCTTGTTAGTAGGGAGTAAACTGGGGAGGGGAACCTTCAGGCAACCTCTGGACTCAGGGGGCTCCAGGTGACATCTGGGTTACACCAAACCAGAGCTGCCTCTGCAGTCTGATGAAAGCTCTGAACAGCAGCTAGTGATCTACCAACTTTGGTCACAGACTACGAGAAAACTCGCCAAGGATTATTACCGCTGCACTCACAATGGGCCAAAAGCTACAAAGGGAAAACGGACAACTGGACGGTCAATGATTAGACAAACCAGAGGCCTAACATTTCTAGAACGCTGAAGCTGCTCTGGAGACACAAAACTCCTAAACCCTCAGCCATCCTTCTCACCTTTCTGTCCTTAGGGCACCATGCAAAATACCGGATTCCAACTGCAGACAAGCAGATTGGCGATACTATAGAAGGCTCTCTACACACCCCTTCAAGAACCAGGATTACTTAGAAGCACCTTTATGGTACTCTCACTCATGTGCATAAGGAATAAAGTCGTTGTTCAGCCTTAAAAAATAAAATTCATGAGCTTATAGAATCAAACTCACCGTACTCATTATGCTCTTTGGTTCCAACCTACAGACAAGGAAGGGCTCTGCACCAGGACTTGCAGGGAAGCCAAACACTCCAGCCTGTCACGCCTGTTGGCTACTCATCCTCTGGCTAGCACAGGAAGTTGAAGCCAAAGAGACTTCCAGTATCTTCAAGTCCTGAAAAACAAAGACATCAAGTCAATAAACGCTGCCACCCACATCGCTGACAACAGAGCTCAGTGCAGCCATTCACTGGTCCTTTCTGTCAGCTGGATGCTTTGCTGAATACTTCATGTAATTTATGCCCTTAACCCACGTTTTCTCAGGAAGCAAGCATTCTTGTAGAACACAGGACTGTCCGATCCCAAAGCCAGCAACTGGAACCAGGATGCCACCTCCTGCCCTCCTTCCTGGCTGTCAAAACCCTCGCAGATAGTCCTCAGCCCACGGCCCCTCCCTGCCTGTCTGGACTCACCCCTGCGGGGCACAGTCCTGACATGGGCTCTGGCTCTCAGCCGAGCCTGCGCCCTCATCCCCCAGGCTGTGCTAGGAGACAGACTGCAAGTGGCAGGGCTCCAGCCTCATCACTGCATGATTCGCTCTGGTGAAACCCTGCCAGGCAGCCAGCTTGAGTGGTGTGACAATACACGACCCAGTGGGG